TGTTCATTAATTAACTATAAATGTACATTGATATCATTTGAATTTAGTAAATTTGATGGCAAGTCATTGAGAAACAGACAGTGTTGTCCTAAAACACCAGACTCTTGCGAAAGATTGAACCTAAAGTGTTGTCTATAATTTAAGAATCATCATGAATGGCAGCCATCAAATAATATTTCTACTTGATTAAAAGCAGTGGTGAATTTATATCTGTGGTACGTTCTTGGATTCCTCATGATTGGAAGATTTCAGAGTTTTCACCATAGTGGAAAGAACAAGAGTCATCACTGACCTGTTTGGATTTTTGCTCAGACCCATAAAATCTAAGTAGAACTAATCTTCAGGTTGTGGATCCGATCAACAGTCTCTCTATCAACTGTTTCTTGCAAGTGTCTCATTGGAATTCAAGAAAATAGGCTGATTTGTAGAAGCAAGCAGTCTGGCCCACATCCTCTGTCAACTTCACTGTGTTTTGTGCCTCTGTCACTCTCTGCAATATCAAAACAGTTGAGTCGATTTTGAATCACAAAATTGTATTGCATTAGTTACAGAATTTATAATTGCTTCCACGAGCTCCAAGATCTACCCTGCTACTAATTAAAAATAATTGTTGTGCGTTTTTGGAGTTCAATAACAGCTTAAAATTGAACTCTCACTACTTCAGAAGACTGGAAGGCACAGGCAATTTACAAGGCAAACTACAAGGTTAGCCCAGCATCGAACGATAATAAAAGGGCCACTAACAGTTAATCATATTCTGCACTGTCTGTATCGGCAGGAGGAAAATAGAACAGTTTCTTGCAGTCTGGTGCAAAGAAACTATATAATGCTTGTGTAAACTGTAAGTACAAGTGACTGACAACGGAGCAGGGAATTGTACTAGTTTTCATCTGTGAAAAGGCAGCAGCAGCACCCCAAATTAGTTTTGCATTCCTGCACCCTGGCAGTAGTTGAATTTATTCTTACACATCTTATACTTATTATTCCTCCTCTGAGACTCAAGCACTTACGGGATCTTATGATGACAAGAATTTAATCCACTACTCACTTACAGGGTAAGTTAATTTTATTAATCCAACCAAAGAATTTAGCTTTTCCTGTTTAAATGCATAATATATAAAGGCTTCTCACAAGTTTTTGACAGATTGATTCACACTTAGACATTCAACTAGTAAAATTACAAATATAAGAGCCAAGTCTATATTTTAAAAAAGAAGCTAAACGTGAAATTGTATTCATAGAAAGTCATGTTACTCGGGGAATCTTCAATGGATGAGCCAAAAAAAAAAAAAAAAAACCTAAGCAATTTATTCTCTATATTTAAAAAAAAGCTAAACCAGCAAGTGAAATTGTATTCATATAAAGTCATGTTAGTCAGGGCATCTCCAATGGAAGAGCCAAAAGGAGAAAAAAAAAAAGCAATTTAGCTTTTCTCCCCTGGTTTTGTAGGTCCAATGGGATAGCCAAATGATGAGCCAAAATCCCTTTTTCTGTCAATGAAAAGTCATTCCTACATAGCTATCAAAAGAGCCAAAAACATTAATATATATATATATATATATAGATATATATATATATATAAAGATTTCTTCTTTCATCTGGACATCTTTTCTCAATGGCTTTTCTCAAAGAGCCAAAAGTATTAATATCAAATATATTAAAATACAAATTGTCCGTTAACATAGCTTTTTTCCCATTGAAGTGCATGTTAGGAAAAAAAAAAAAACGTTTATTCTATTCAAAAAAGTATATTAACAATTTGGCTATCCTAAATGGTTTTTGCCATTGGAGATGCCCTCATAGACACATATTGAGAAGAGAAGTGCTTACAGAAATGGAAATATAAGCACGTCTACTGTTTACTGGACCAACTGTGAATCCCGTGTACCCAGCCATGGCCCCATGAACAGCACTTTGTGCAAGACGGGTGCAAGAGATGCTGTCTGATGCATTACTTGGAATAGCTCGTACCATGTATGCAGGATCTGCATGCGAAAATATCAACATTCAGATACATAGACCTCTTCTCTTTCATCAGTATAGGGGATAATTTTCACAATGTTCTCAAACATACTTTCTTAATTCTTGATCCTAGGATAACCAACTCAATGAAAATGAATAATTTTTTAGGACAAGGATTTTAGCATAACCTTTCATTAGCTAGAGATAAGCCTGCCAAGTACGTTGTTCACATTTTTTTGTCCTTCAATCATACACTATTTTTTTTTCCCATTGGCTGTAGTTTACGTAAAAAGGTCAACCTTGAATTAGGATTGTGTTTAGCAGAAGTGAGAATCATAACACGGACCACTTAGTTATACCAAAGATAAAATTCTAATGCAATCATTTGGGAGATACCTATATATTTCATATCTATCTCCATCTTCTTAACCTCTGTAAAATGATCCTGCAACATGAGATACTAACAGTCAGTATGAAAGGAATAACACTAATAATAACAATAACAAAGTAAATAGATGAGGTAACAGAAATGAAAGAAATGGTCTGTCTCAAACAGAATGATGGGTACAGCAACATAAATGTATTAAAATTAGGTAATAGGTGGTTGTACCAATTTACCACCTAACATGATTGCTATGTGGCATATGAGTCCGTTTGTTTTTGTATTTTAAAAATGTTTTAAATTTTTTTAAAAAAACTGTTTTTCTTTACTTCAAATTAATATTTTTATGTTTTCAGAACGTTTTGATGTGTTAATATCAAAAATAAATTTTAAAAAATAAAAAACCATTATTTCAATACATTTTCTAGCAAAAAACACTTTGAAAAGCACCTACAATACCAAACAGGCTCATAATTTTGAGGCCCAGGAAAGTTGGAACACCAAGTTTGGGAAAAGTAATTGCTTAACATGGCAGTAACAGCCTACAATATCATACCTCCTGTCAGCAGCACCCCACAAACCCATCCCCCACCCACCGCGAAGAATTAAAAATAAAAGCACATGTGAAAATCATGGACAAACAAACTCATGAAAAAAATGGCACATAACTACACTGTTCTGTGAAATAAAAAAACTTGAGTTGAGAGAGATGGCAACTTTTTGAACCCACCTTAACCTTTTGAGTTAACCACAGACCAACATCTAGAAGTTGCCTGTTCCCTGAAGCATCTCACTCGTCAACTGCATGCATGTTCTGAGCAACATATTCCTGGCCAGTTCCTTCTGCTAACACAATAACAAATGCCCATTTTCTTTTATCCTCTTTTCAATAAATTCAAAAGGCAATCTTGTTATATTTCAATATCCGAACACAGTAGCATATCACTAAGTTGTAATATTATGAGTGATTTTGGGCACTACACCACACCATTGAAGCACATCCTGAAGCAATACATTTTCCAACCCATAGTTTGGAGAAGAAAAGGGAAGCCTATGCTAAACGTGTGAGAGATGGGAATATAGCTTATATGATTACTTATGCATGCATATGTACAACCATTCACACATAAATAAATACAGAATAAAGATACACATGCATGTGTGTGTATGCAGCAATATGTTTTCTAGGAAAACAAGCTTACAACATCCTTACACAGAAGGCATGCTTAAATCTACCATTTTTGAAGACGTCAAGCATCAAAGATGGTATATAAGACTACCTAATTTTTCCTAACACACAATCCTGTTACAAAATAGTGATTACAACAACAAATCATTGCTTCATACACAAACAAAAAAGGCCAAACTTCCTGAAACAGCCAAACTTGGAGCAAACAATCACATTATTGTTATGACTCAATAAAACAGGATGATCATGGGTAACTTTATTGACTAACAAGGATCTAGGACTCAATCTTATGTCCGCATCAAGTTATTATTTTCCAACCCTCTCAGCAAGTGCCTTTGATTTACTTATCATCAAACATGACACTCTAACGACATTGAAATTGGATCCAAATAATTGTAAGTTCAAGAAGATGGTTACCAAAAAAAGTCTTACCATGTCTCAATTTGCCAAAGTTGCAAACATTGCAATGAAACCTGCAGGATTCAAAGCACAAGGAAGCTGGAAGGAAAGAATAAATACAGTGAGAATCTGATGGCCATCAATGTGCCATCTATTAAAATATGTTCAAAAAGTTTACCACTGTATCTGCCCACAAGGTTTAACAATTCCAACTCCATTTTCCTCACTTTCAACCTCCACATGCGCAGCATTAGTTGCTCTCTGAGCTTCTTCAACAGCAGTATCAATTCCAAAAGATTTGTCTATCACCTAGAACAACAATGCAATTTACATCATTTTCCAGGTTCAATACAGTTCAACTCAAGCACGCCAATTCCAAAACTACAAACATTTGAAAAAAAATGTGCAAAGCCTTGAAAATCAAACCTTGCTCTGAAGCATAAAATTGCAGAATGAAATACAAAACTCACCGCAATGTCATTATCAATCATCTAAGGGATCCCAGCAACTGCCACGTCAAGACCACATTTCTAAACTTCCTTCTAAAAATGTACCAAAAACACAAATTGAAGAGAAGAAAAGGCATGCAAGTGTGATACACTTGCATCATACCATAACGCAGGCTGACTGATAGGTACAATTGATGGAACAAGTTCTTGTTGGAGAAATAACCACCTTGTAAATTAAAGCTGCTCCTCTCTGGGTGTCATTACCTCCAACAATATATACTTATACATCCACAAAACCAGTCTACCTTATTTCATTCAGCTTGTGTACCATATTTGGAAATTTATGAAAGAAAAATGTGTATCCACCTGATTTATTCTCTTGTCCTGAATAATATCAACTATCTTGTTAGTATCATGACCTCCTCGTGAAGTGCAAAGAAATGTGCCACTGCGCTTATGCATGTCATTCACAACTTTGGGCATGAAATTTATGGTGTTTCTCGGATAAGAATCCCTATAACCTCCCTGCAAATTCAATCAACCGTTTGAAAACTCTTTCTCAGAGCAAACAATTCAACAATTAAACACAACTCTCTACCTGTCTCTGGATAAAACTCACCATAATTCCATGTACATCACCAACTCCATAGAATCACTGTATTGAGCCCTGGACATAAGCCCCCGCATGTCACTATGCAAGCACGCACTTCTTCAGGCTTAAAATACAACTATACATATATCATCACACCAGTTGAATCAACAACAATCAGCTTCTACAATTCACACCTAATGCCCTGCTCTCTCACTCACATCCATGCTGCGCCACGTGTTGTGACCATAAAGTGGGTCCCACCCGTATGCGAGTGATGAAGCACATGCACCACCTAACCCACCCGTGTACTGAATAATACCTAAGAAATAATGCTTTTAGAATCATAAATAAATTTAAATTTACAAATTATAAAAATTACATTATCTCTCGGACCGGCTCGCCGGAAATGTACACCTCTAGGACTATCTTTATGAACAACAATCTATTAAAAAAAATTGAGAGAGAGATGATTGAATGACATGTCGTTTACAGCAGAAAAATTTACAAGTCAGTGTGCTTACTTGTTTGCAACTACATCTTCTGGTCCAACAAAAGTCTGCCTGCCGATTCAAAATTAAAAAAGAGCAATAGAATCCTAAATTAATTCAAATAATCAATGAATTCATGCACTTGAAAATCGCGTGGGCTTGGCTGTAATGCAAAGGATTTGAATACGAGCAAAAATAAAAGGTAAATAAATCATCAATTGAAACTTAAATTGAAAAGAAAAACATGATCATTGATTACTGGTAAATTAGAGGGGAAATCGATCAGGTGAGGCACAACTTCGAGGACAAAACCATCATCGAGATGCATCGTTCAAACGGGGAGATAGAGGAGGGAGATCTTCCTGAGAGCGTTTATTTCGGTAAGGGAGGAATGATTAGGTGCCGACGATTTAACTGGGGTTTTAATTACATGCCATGTGTATACTTTCTATTGGTTTGCGAGAATATTCAACACATTTTCTTTTACCTTTGTTTTTCTTTGATTGGCTTGATTGCGGATTTTGGAGTCCAAGTGTAGTTTACTGAATCCCATTAAAAAAGATCTTTTTTATGGTAATTTTTATTTTTAGTTATATTTTACTAAAAAAATATTAAATTAATTTTTTAAGAAAAATTTACAAATAATTGTGATAAACTAATATATATAAAAAAAGATAAATTCCTCTACACTGTATGACTGCAATACTAAAAACTATCAAATACCAACACACACTTAATCATTCTGCTATGGATAAATTACAAAACCCCACCTCGTCCACGTATACTTGTCAAGATGGTAAAATACATTTCCTCCACTCTGTTGATAATTTTTTTAATCCAATTGTACGCATGAAAGTAATAGATCCTTCGATCACTGAACATAAACTACATGGAATAAACACATTAATATGTTCTTATTCTTCATATCAAATATGTTCAATAATGAATTAAACAGTTATTAGTTGATGATTTAATCTAATAGTAGATGATTTTGACATAAATTGGAAAATACAGATACCAATTTAAAAATTTATCAACCCAGATGAAATTGAGAAATTTGAGAAACGCGAGCGATGAGAAATGGAGGGCGACTAGGCCATGCTTAACCGGCTAAAAGGAGGAAAAAGATTTGCAAAACCTCAAAAGAATCACTCTAATGTATGGGTTAACATCAGATAAAGCATGCGACGAAAAGAGAGTTCAAATAAAGCATGCCCTGTCGCATTTCCTCGTTTGGACTTTCAACCATACTTGTGGCAACCACATCCAGCATACATGCATCCAAGCATTAAAACAATGACAAGGGCTTAATATATAGCATTTTGTTTTTCATTTATTGATGATCAAAGAAATGTTTGCGCGATACATAAATGAATGAACGAAAATTTCTATTAAATTGTTCGTTTAGTCTTCGTAGTTTTAGCTGAATTCACCATCACCACGATAGCTGACAACCTTCAACCTGTGATAAATGCACTTTCAGGTACAGATGAAAGGTCCAGAAACCAGGATTTCAATATAGCATACTCGTTTAGTAACTTACCATGTAGGACAGCTGTAATGTTGTTATGTCTAGGAGTCATTGGCTTTTACAGAAGAAAATGATCAATCATATGTCGTATCACATCTGCACCTTCCATATGCATCATTTCATCTTTAACCTGCAATATTTACAGAATGGTGTTAGGTTCCTTCAGAAACACAGAAATTTATGGTGTTAATTTTCATTTTCCGAGGAGGGTTTTTTTTTTTTTTTTTCCTTGCACATGAGCACTGATGAGACCATTATTATTCCCAAGAGATGGTTAGCATTTTCATACCATATAACCAAAAAACATAACACTGCGGTGAGGATGAATGGATGCATGCATGAGGGGAGAATGAGAGAGACCTGAATTACACTATGAGCAGCAAACCTCTGTCGGCTGGCATGGAAGCTAACGTCCACTTTTTCCCATGACACACGGGATAAACCAGCCACTAGTTCCTCTGCACACAAAAAAACAATCAACAAACTTTTAAAATTGATAAGCAGTAATTGTGGTGGATGGAAATTCCCCAAACAAGAAGTTCTCATTAGACAAGTTGGGCAAGGGAATTAAAACAAATAAGGTGATCATAGTTGCTGCATCTTTTCATTCAAAATATACCTTCTAGCTTGTCCAAACCATCATCTTCTGTTGAAATAAGTTCAGACTGCTCGGCATCACGGGCCTTGCAGCGTTCTTCGTATACAATATGCGGATATTCCTTGTTCATATTATCTTCCCACTAAAACATAACATGACATTTCAGTCAGGACGTTCTAACCAACAGGCAATGAGATAAAGGAGAACTATACAGTGGAAGCAGATGTACCTTTGGCAATTCATAATTACGCCTGATGGACGACGTTCTCCAGCCCACAATATCTAAACAATTTTCATTAAGGAAACAGAGAATAAAGACTCTGCCATGTTTTCAGATTATATATCACTCACAGCTACTTTGAATGAACAAAAAGGATACGGTCATAGCCCACATTTGAATATGCCACCCGGCGTTTGAATATACACAATGCCGACCTACAAAATTAGTTAGGTGCCCTTATTAATTGCATATTTGGATATCATGAAGATGACGTCTCCAGAAACTACAAAAAGAAAAAATCTGCATAAAGAACTGTTGTGTAAGAAGCATACATGAAAAAACAATCACCATAATCTTCTATCATGCGTTTAAGCAATGGAGGTTTGCCCTCATCATCATCATTCAAAAAAAGGTGCCGACCTGTTCTCTTAAATATCCAATGAATCAAGAGGTTGGCTGCTTTCTCAAAGGCAGTTACACCAAAAAGAAATGGAACCTGCAAATGAAGACATTTTTTGAACAAGATACACAAGTGTGATTAATCTAAATTTAATAAAGCTTAGTTTAAGGAATGATTAACATGCCCAGTCAGATAGTGGCAGGAAAGCAAGCAAAGCTATTTCTATGCACAGATTTAGTCCAGATTTTTTTGTTATGAAAACATTTAAGCAACCTAATAATTTGCTCTTTCAATGTTTTTGAGTGGATGCTGATCAAATTTGACAATCTAAATGACACAAGACAATCAAAATATGATACCTGCTTATTTCCCCTTGAACCAAGGTGAGGTGTAGCAACCGTGATAAAGTTCATAGGCTCCAAGCCACCTATTGTAGCCTTTATGTCGTCTTCATTAGTACCATCAGTTGAAGCTGCTACATTTTCTTTCTTGGGTGGTCTATACAATCTTCCAATTGCATATCTGGCCACTAATCCTCCCACAGAATGTGCAACAAATGAAATCTTCCGCAAATTCTGCTTTCTTTGAATCACCTCAAGTACCTAAAATTCAAATATTCCATCAATAACCCAGCATAAGAATTCATCCAAACTTAGTAAATAACTACAGGCACACCCATGAATCCAAAAACTGCAATACCTCCTCAGCCAACCGCTCACCCATCACATCAACACCATCAAGTGTCAGCCTAAACATATTTTTTTCACTACCTGCAATGCAAGTACAACCAACCCAAGCATTCCATTCTGAGTAAGGAAAAAAAAACAGATACCAAAAGAAATGATTTAAACTCCACTCAACAACCGCTTAAATACCAAATTCAAAATGAAAGAAAGGATTTCGCTTCTTATTAATATCGAAAACATAACTAATGATACTTACAATGAACAAATACTTTATCAGGTAAAGTTCTAACAAACTGCTCTGCTCCAAACTTCCAATCTGCGTTACTGATCACTCAAATACACCCACAATTAGCAAACAGCATAACTTCAAATACACCCACAATTAGCAAACAGCATGACTAATCGAATTCCAAATTCAATAATTAAGCCCGAAAATTCAGCTAAACTCACAAGGAAACTTTAAAAGAAAGTTGAGATTTTGCTCTCATAATTTACAAAATTAAACCAAACCCGGTTATAAAAACAAAATATTACACTAGATTAAGAAAACAACAAATCAATTGAATTCCGAATTCAGTAGTTGAGGGTGAAAATTCAATTAAAAAAACAAAAACTTTTAAAATAAAGTTTTAACATTTTGCTCTCGTAGTCGACAAAATTAAACCAACACCAGGTAAAAAAAATCACTAAATTAAATAAACAAAACATGATAATCGGTGATCAATAAGAAGAAGAAAAAAGAGCATACCTTCCAAGGATACCGTGGACCATAATAACAAGATGATCAGCAGAAGCAGCAGCGGATTTTTGACAACTCCAGACATCACAGCTTCCATTTACTGATTCTGTTGAACAAACTCTGTTCTCCATGATTTATTGATCCAATTCTTGTTTTTTTATCTCTCTCGCTTTCTTTACGGTTCTTCACTCAAAAATGCATTTAAATAATGACTGCAGAGAATTTGTTTTTGGTTATTGTGTTGATTCTCTCGAAAAAAGGGCGGTGAGAGAGTCCCCGGACAGAGGAAACTGAAAAGGGTAGTTATAGAGAAAAATAAAGAAAGGTCTTTAGTTTTAACCGTTCAGTTTGGTGCGATTGATTATGATTGATTTTTTTTTCAAATATTATTATTTATATTAAAAATATAAAAGAAAATAAATTAAAAAATAATTTTTAAAAAATAAAAAGATATATTTAAAATGTGTTTAGAGTGTAGTCGTGATAAATTTTTAAAATATTTTTTATTTAAAAAAATATGTTAATAATATTTTTTTAATTTTTAAAATTATTTTTAAAATCAACATATTAAAATAATTTAAAAATATTAAAAACATATTAATTCAAAATAAAAAAATTTAATTTTTTTAAAAGAGATTTTAAAACATGACAAACAAGTTTTTATATTAAAAAATATAAAGAGAAGGGGCTTTTCTTATTATAGCACTGGAAATAATTTATTACCATTAAAATTATTATTTTATTTTTAAATTTTTATTTAAAAATAAATATTTTTTTTCGCATACCAAAATAGCTTTTATAAAATTTAATATAAAGTATTTTTATCCATTATTTTTTAGGTATACTATAATGAATGGATTATTTTTAAAAGAAAAAATCTAATATAATCATTTCAAGACTTTTTATTTTATCAATGCACAATAAAAATACTTAAATGGCCTTTGCATCAGTTTTTTTTTAGCTTTGATTCAAGGTATTTTAATATTTTTATTTAGGTTTTTTTGTTGTATTTACAGTGAGCTAGGGGTTGTTTTGTCTTTAAACATAAATCTAATATTATTAAAATTAAAAGTTGTCAGGTATAATGATACACACGAGGGTGCTTCATCTCCATTCATACTATTTGATTGGTGCATTACGGTGGCCTTACCCTACATTCTGTGATGGCATTAGAAA